TCACACAGGCCAGAATGGCCATCTTTAAAAAGTGTACAAATAATAAATACTGGAGAGGGTGTAGAGAAAAGGAAACCCTCCTACACTGTTGGTGGGAATATAAATTGTTGCAGCCACTATGGAGAACAGTATGGAGGTTCCTTAAAAAACTAAAAATGGAGTTGTCATACAACCAGCAATACCATTCCTGGGCTTATATCTGGAAAAGACAGAAGCTCTAATTCAAAAAGATATATCAACTGTACACCAGAAATTAACACAACATTGTAAATCAACTGTACTCAATTAAAAAAATACATGGACCCCAATGTTCATAAGAGCACTATTTACAATAGCCAAGACATGGAAACAATCCAAGTGTCCATCAACAGTTGACTGGACAAAGAAGATGTGGTATAGATATACAACTGAATACTACTCACCCATAAAAAAGTATGAAACAATGCCATTTGCAGCAACATGAGAAAAACAAATCTATGATATCATTTATATTTGGAATCCAAAAAAAAAAATATATATATATAAATGAACTTATTTACAAAACAGAAACAGACTCATAGACATAGAAAACAAACTTATGGTTACCAGAGGAAAAGGGGGGAAGGATAAATTAGGAGTTTGGGATTAACAGATATACACAACTATAAATAAAATAGATTAAAAAACAGTAATTTACTGTATAGCACAGGGAACTATATTCAGTATCTTGTAAAAACTTGAAAGGAATTGGAAAAGGAATTTATATATATATATATATATATTTAGTTTTTTTATTTATTTATTCATTCATTCATTCATTCATTCATTTATATCTGAATCACTTGCCTCTGAACACCTGAAACTAACACATTATAAATCAGCTATACTTCAACTGAAAAAAAGAAAACAAATAAAGAGAATTATTCACACAAAGATGAAACAAAACTCAAATTTTGTATTTTGAGGAACATGGAGAAAGTACAAAAAAATTAAAATATACTTTCTATCTGGTATGTCAAATATAAAAGCAGTATAAAACATTTAAATTTTGCAGTGGTTTGTATATTCTATTTAACTGTAAATTTTATATTTATATATGGGAAGTAAGTATATCATCTATACTTGTATTTTAAGACCCAGCCTCCTTCAGTGAACCTCTGCTTGGTAAGTTTATTACCTCCTAAAAGCTGGCTACCCACAAGTGCGTGTCTATTGAAGAGTCTCATGACACCTGAATTTGGATCTCACCTGGTGTGTAGGTGCAGTAACTATCACCTGTGCCTCTTGGATTTATATAGCCTCACCTTTTCCCAATTCTGACTGATGAGCTCTGGGCTGCTTCTCTGAAACTGCTGCTGCAACTGTCCCCACAGGCTGAGTGGTTCCACAAAACCCCTTTGCACGGAAATAATTTCCCCGTTTCCACCCAGGCATACATGCAGACCTGAAGAATACTTTATCCTTTGGTGGTAGGTACTTTCTATGCATTAATTTATTTAATTTTACAAAAAAAAAACTTTTGATGTAAGTACTATTGTCACTATTCTACATTTTAGAAAATTAAATCCAGAGAAATTAAATATCTTGCCCAAGCCACACTCCACTAACGGCCAGAGACTGGATTTGAATAGGTATTTCTGACTGCAGTGCACAAATGTTTCCCATTATCCACTGAATACCCCCATTGCCATGTGTAGGCAGGATAGCTTAGCACTTCAGAGTAGGGATGGTAGAGTTAAACTGTTAAAAGGGTCTCAGAAGCACTTCTCAGTTTATGACCTACTTGGCATCTCTACACTCCAAGTCCATGATGTGTAAAATGGATGTAATAGTAGTATATAAGGCATAGAGTTGTGATAAGCATTCAGTGTGACTGTGTGTAAAATGCTTAGGAAAAAACTCGCCATGTAGTAAATACCATTAAATTAGTTATTATTCTTTTATTTTTATCATGTGATGAAAATATCTTGCTGAAAAGCAAATGGCATAAAGGATGAAAAAGTGGTAGTAATGCATTAATTCAGTAGCCCATGTAGAGTCTGAAAATGGGTAACTAGTCACCTTGTAGACCTGCAGGGAAATGGAGACACTGAGCAGGTCTATTTGACTATTGAACAAGGTAGATGGAGAAGTGCTTACAGTGGACAGTCCCTGGGGAGCAAGGGACACTAGAAGCCACCATTTAACATTAAATATGGGGAGAGTAATTATAAAACTACTTGGAGTTAAATCCAGGCCTTAAATATTCACTATTTCCTAATTTGGGTCAAGACCTGGTGTCTAATAAAATCCACAGTATGTTTGACAGCATTCCACATATCCTTATTTTCTTCTTGATTTGACTTTCAACTTCTTTATTTAACATTCTACTTCGTTGTCAACACCTCAGAGGAGAGTATTCTGCCTAAGTAGCAGACTTCATGGCAGCTTTCAACTCTGTCTTGTGCCTGATACCAAGATCTGAAAACACTCTAATCATCTTGTCACACTTTCAAAATTAAAGCATTGGTGGCATGATCAAAGGCTGAGATTCCATTGAGAACTCCACCTAGGATTTTAATCTGACTCCCTGTACATCCTGGTTGCAAACATATAAACATTTTTATTGTAGTGAATCCTTATGTAAATAGCATGCAGAGAAAAGGGTCATGAAAGTGACTACATCAGTCAGAGTAAAGATGAATCCATTTATACCTTCACTTCTCCAACTATCGCACAGTCAAAGGAATTTAGATTCCCGGTATGAGTTCAAATAAGCAACTGCTATATTAGAATAGAAGGAGCCTGAATGCCTACTTCATAGCACAAGACCAATGGAAGTATACCATGTTATTATGAATGCTTCAGTGAATTCTTAATAGTGCTTAATATTCATTCCTTTGAGTCCCTCTAATAAAATAAACCCTAATACTGACTATGCTGTCAATTGCACATATTTTTGTTAGTGTATCAAATACACCCAGCTAATATTACTTTAATTCAATTCTATGAGTTTATAGCAAACCCTACTCAGTAGTTACCATTGTGCTAAAACTTTGGCAGCTACAAAGAAGTAAAACCTAAGATATTTTAAATGTGTATAGATATTCACAAAGCATTTTCAATGAAAAACTTTTATTTGTCATGCATAATAATCCTGTGTGCTAGTTTGAATACAGCCAGTATTATCATCCCATTTTAGAGTATAAAAATCAAAATGAGCCAACTAAGCAAAAATCCATTTAAATAATTTGCCCAGAGTCTTGACTAGTAAGTTGCAGAGCCAAGACCCAAACCTTGGTCTTCTGTTTCAAAAAACCACATGCTTTCCACCTTTAGATGGCCTGCAGACTCACTGCTGTGGCAAAGTTTCATAGAAACGTTACCTTAAACCCTCTTGAAACAAGGCAGACAATAAATAAGACTTAGTTGCCCGAATGAAAAGACAACAGGCATTCTTCAAGTTAGAAAGTAAGAAGAATCCTTATGGCCTTTTTTGGTGGGAAAGGAAAACCTTCCTAGAAGAGTTGGAACTTCGTATGTTCCCATGTTGGACCTTCATGTGTTGCTGAACTGTGTAGAGGCAGATGAGGAAAAGCCTGATTCCAACTTTGACTAACACAGGTAACATAGCAGAGTAGGAGCAGTGAGATACGGACCAGTCCAGCATGCCATGGGGGTGGGAGGTTCACGCTGGAGAGTAGCAGGTGATTGTAATTAACAAAGCATAAGCGATTAAACGATAGAGAGCTTTATATCAGGCAAGGAATTTGGCCTGGATTCAGCAAACCACACAGAGTTGGGATAAAGGAAAAGATAATCCAGCAGCATGGTGTGAGATGAATTAGAAGCGCCATCAAAATAAGGTTGGGATGGTGAAGCTTTGTATCAGGAACAGCACTGGGTCATTAAGAAGGACACCAAAGACTATATTGTACATAGTGACCAATCTATGTTGAATGCAAAGAACAAAGGACAGAGGTGATCCCAAGAATTAGAGTTACCTGTATGATGATGGAGCCATTGACTAAATAGGAAAGCTAGTTTGCAGTCTGAGTATATTTGAAAGTAGTGGGGAGTGCAGTGGGTAATGTTTGTAAAATGGCTTCCTCTTTTGACTGAAAGCAGGCTATGTCCTAATTCAAGGTCCTAGTTTCTTTAAATTGGAGACAAAGGAATGATTGAGCCATGATCAGTTTGTATCTTTTACAAAACATCCTACTTCCCACTGTATCCTTAAGATACAACAGTTGGGCATATTTTGAAAGTTTTAAAATTTCCAAATGGCAGTGGTTTGGAGGCTATTGGAAAAATACCAAGAATCCAGTTACCCTGGATGGAACTATACTTCTAAGAATCTTTTACAAAGAAAGGAAGGAAAGAAACTCACAGATATTATTTGGACCAAGTATGCACAGGCATTATGTATGTGGGGCATCTGCATCTATCTTCCTTCAACCAGCTCTGGCAGCCCTTATAGTCACCATCAATAGGGATGTTAATAGTGTATGGCAACGGAGTATCAAAGAGGCTCAGTATGTATGGCAGAGTGTGCCTTCAAAGCGAGGTCTTCTGCTTTCAGTTTGGTGTGTAGCCAAAGGATATGGTTCTTCTATAAGTATGTCATGAAAAAAGGGAAAGAATCTGCTATATAAGGTCCTGATAAAAGAGAAAAGGGGGAGAAAGTACAAGATAGGATAGGGAAGGACACCACTGTCTTTAAAGAATAAAAACATAAAATAGAAATAACTTTAAGGCACAGTAATAAAATATAAGCTAGATAAATATATGCTAAAAAGATACAAAGGAAAGATGCACTCAGAGTGCATAATGTTGTTTTTAATATATCGTGTTAACAGAATCCAAAAATTATCTTATTTATGGTAACATTAGGAGTACTTCCTGAGGTTAAAAAACAAAGATTAAGGGATAAGATGTTTTAATCCTGAAAATTTAACCTACCTTCCATATTATTTAGAAATTAAGTGTGATACTTTTCCATCTAAGAGTGTCAAATGCTGTTTTTTGCCTCTCTACCTCAGTAAACATGTTGTTCTTCAGCATTTGCCTCGGTACAGAACCATCATCAACTCACAGCTTAGTCATGAAGTTCAAGAAATGAAACCCAGAGAATTGTCCATATAAATGAAGATACTTAACTTGTGCAACATGACAGAAAACAAAATGTTTCTAATGGATGAATCATAACATAATAGGGACCATCCCACAAAAAAGCTTCACACTCTTTTAACATACAATTTTAAACCAATTTAATAATCACAAAAGAGTTCAGCTAATGTTGGATTTAGGAGAAGAAATAATTTACAATCAGGTCGTTCACTGGAATTTGACTCTACATTTCAGTGATCCTCAACCTTGACCATGCATCAGAATCACCTGCGAGGCTTTGTAAAAACACCTGCTGAGTCAGAACCTGTGAAGGTGCAGCCTGCACTTCTTTGTCTGGAAAAAAAAAAAAAAAAAAAAAGCTCCACGAATGATTCAAATGCACGAGCCAGGTTGAGAATTCTGATATAAACAATTCATAAATAGTCTTTCAGTCACCTTTCTCTGAGAGGAATTAGTTAGGATATTGCTATGCAAATGTAAAAACAAAAGTGTGCCCCGATAAGGAGAATTTGGCCACTTCTAAGAAGAGTTACCTCAATTTCATTGCTCCACAAAACAGCTGTAATTCCACAATCTGTACACCTCCAGGCTACCCCACTTTCAGCAGCTGCGATAAATTCCAAGCATATTTCCAATGCAAACCAACCCAACCTTTGAATCTAAATCCCTCCAAGTTTCTCCTGAAGTTTAACTGTAAATGTTGACTTTGGTTCAACTTTCCCATTGCCTGCATTAGTCAGCTAGAATGGTTTAAACATTTATAGATAGAAAAGTTCAGATATGATCCATATTTTATTGTAATCAAATGTTAACTGGGTCGCTCTTGCGACCAAGCATTTGTCTACTATGGACATTTGAAAATAATTATTGTCAATGAATCTTGGCTTTTTGTTCTTTGCAAAGTGATAGTTGAACTTATTCAATAAATATTTATCACGACTCTACTATTGCTGAACGCTGTGATATGCACTGAGGATACAATAATACCCTTAATTTGCTCATGGTCTGATAGGAAAGCATTCACTTGACAAATATTAATTGAATAGAAGCAAAGATGCATATGGTGTAATATCTGCATTCTGGGACATCACAGTGAATGTGGAAAGGCAGATTTATAAACAACTTCCTCATGATAAAGTATTAGAAGGTACTATGTGCTCACAAAGGAAAAGCAACCTATATGGGGGAAGTCAGTACAGGCTTTTCCAAGCAAGTGGCATCTAAAGTGGAAGAATGAGTGGAATTTTCCAGGTGGAGAAGAGGAGAAAATGTATGCCAAACAGAAACAGTACCTGCAAGTCTCGGAAATAAGACAATCATGCCTGTCATGGGAGAATGAGGACTTCATGGAACATGTAGTACAAGACTCACCGGCTCGCTCTCCATTGCCATCCTTGCCATCATTCTTGGTAACTTCACCAGACCTGGAGATAACTGTCCAGTTGCCTGGCTTCTAGGCTCTTTACTTCCAGTCATCATACAGAAAGGAGGAGTGACGGAGAATTCGTACTCTGCCTGACTGTCTTCAAACTAGGACATCAGTCTTCTTTTGCTTTCAGACTCAGACTGGAACTATACCATTGGCTCCCCTGGGTCTCCAGCTTACTGACTGCAGGTCTCAGGACCTCTTGGCCTCTGTAACTGTGAAAGCCAGTTTCTTACAATATACATATGCATGTACGCATGTGTGTGTTCATGCATGAGTGTATGTGTGTGCTCACGTGTGAGTGTGTGTATGTTCTATGAGCTCTTTTTTTCTATAGCACCCAGACTAATGCAGTAAGCATTAACAAATAAAATGGATGAATTAATGATGGCATGTGTAGCTGGAAAATGGCAGAGGAATAAGAATATGAAGCTAAAGAGGTATCAGTAATAAAAACAACACTTAAATGCATTATGCCTTAATTATATGCAAGACACTCTGTCAGGCACTTTAAATGGACCACTCCATGTAATCTTCGTAACACCATGAGATGTGTACTTTTATTATCTCCATTTTACAGAGAAAGTCACTGAAGCTCAGAGAGGTGGGGCAAATTTCTAAGGTCATATTAATATAAATGTTTTGTTTTAATTCATTTCTAAAATAGAAATATTTTTCTTCATTATTTCGGTTCTTTCAAATCAATCAACTAGTCAATCATCAAGAACGTACAGAGCCTGCTATTTTGTGCCCTGGGTGATTTCCTCTCAAGAAATGAAGCCACTGACAGCGAGCACGGGCATCTCCCTGGCTTCAAGAAACATCAAGTCAAAATTACTCCAAACACATGATGCCTTTGGAGAACCTTCCATTTTTCAGTTCTGTAATAGCTATTTGCAATAGAAAAAAGTAATTATGAGAGCAAAATACCTACTAATTACAAGCAGCTGTAAATAAGAAAAATTGAGTTCAAAGAAGTGTCCTAAACCATGTGTCCCATTTCAGAAATGTGCCATCCAGGTCATTAGTAATGTGGGAGTTATTTTTTACTGTAAAGACTAAAAAGTCTGTCCCTGGCAGACTTAATTTAAAAACTAAGAACTGAAAACAGACCACCCCCCCCCAATCACACATCCATCTAGATCAGGAATTGGCAAACTTTCCCTGTAAAAGGCCACACAGTGAATATTTAAGGCTTTGTGGGCCATGTAATCTCTGTCACAACTGTTCCACTCTGCTGTGCGGTGTGAAAACGCCACAGACGATAAATAGACGGATGGATGTACTGTGTTCCAGTAAAACCATACTTCCAAAATTAGATGGTGGGTTGGATTTGGCCTGAGGGTGGTAGTGTGCCCAGTCCCTGCTTTTAGAACCTTAGGTACCATATTCCCAGATTAGAAAGCATGAGGAGCTTGTTCACTCTGGTGTGAATTACTCGTTGATGCGTTCTAACCTGGTGAGTACTAGTATGTATCCGGAAGACTAGGTGGAGAAAGGATAGAAGGTAGCAGTAATTAATAGGATTGTGTCCCTACCTGAGCCTGTCCTAAACAAACAACCAATGAAGAACCTATTGAAGTTGAAGATCACTGAAGAATCAGAGCAGTTGCCACTTTAAGACAGGACTACCATTTCACTCAACATCATTTTTCATCAGATGGTTCTTTAACATTATTGGTTCCATCACATAAATTCCATTTTACTGCAGATGTTTACCTATCGTAGACAAAGCAGATTTGTTACTTTCTCTGCAATTTGATGACTTGTAAACTGAGGCGTAGAACCTAATTAGGTAAAAGCACCTGCAAATTATTTTTTAGGTTATATCTAAATGGTACCACAGGTTTCCAAGTTAAAGATCTAGACATCAGAAAATCTGCATTGGCAGGTTTAGACTTTTTCTTGGTTTTGAATTTCAAAAGACTACAAGAGCATGTTTTTAAAAATTATAATCAAAACATCTGAGTCATACACCCAATAAATATTTAGATTATAATAAAATACTAAATCTTTCAATGTAAAACAGTATCACTTTTAGCCATGCAAAAATGTCATGACTAAAACTCATTATTTTAATTCCCCTTGAAATTGCATTTATATTAGTAAACAACATTTTTTTTTACTTTACACATTTTTTTTATAGATTTATAAAATCTATAGTATTTTGTT